TTGAATGCCTTTTTTTAGTTTATTCGTTTACGTAGTTACATAGAGTTATTTTATCTTTAATATACGAACAAAAATTATATTGTATGAAGATTATATATTTACGCTAAATAGCTGAAATAAAATTCAAGTTTTATAAAAGAAAAACATCCAGGTATGAGCCAAAAATAAGAATTAAATAAATATTTTTGAACATTTCTGAGAATTAAAAGAGCCGAAAGCACTCTTAACAAAAAAAAAAGCCAGTCGCATAGTTTTAAAAGCATTGTTATTTTGCAATGAAAAAAAATAATGCGATCTTTTTATCACTGTTGTATATTTATCATTTATCAATAAAGTTTCAAACTATATTTTTCCAATTCCTTATAAACTATTGGTAAATCTACTTATAAGATAGTATAATAATTTTTATTGTTATCGATAAAATTGATAAATGTTGTTAGCGGTGAATAAAAACATTTCTTTTACTGATCATAAAACAGAACTTTTACGACATTGAAAGTTTTAAAGTTCAGTTTACAAAACTTCTAACGGTATGGAAGGAATTGTAAGAAATTTTATATCCTAAAATGCATATGTTATGTTTTGTTTAAGGTTTGTTTTTTTATAGATCATTTATATTAAAAAATTTAATTTTTATTACGTAAATCAAGTAAATGAAATAACTATTTTCTGAGAAAATATAGATCACATAATAGATTGATTATATTTTCATATTTAAAAAATTAGATTAACATTATATTTGCTATCACTATTTGTAATTAATTTAAGTATATTAGCTCTAGACATCTTTCAAGAATCTGGCAAAACTAAACAAATTCAGATTACACCAATTGATATAATGCTACCACTTATAACATTGTGGAGTGACACGACTTGCTGGTTTTATTTTATATATATATATATANTATATTTATATATATATTATTATTATTATTATTATTATTATTATTATTATTATTATTATTGACTCACTATACATACCATCTATAAAAAGAAGTTGATAACTTCTAATTATTTATGAAGCTAAAATTCCCTAAGGCATTTAATATCTGACCTTTCAACTTGATCTACACTTTCTGAACAAGTTTCCCTTTCAAATATTTAAGGTGTCTTTAAGATTTATTTGAGACTGTTTTAAGGTGTTAAGGATGGTTTAAGGTTTATTTGAAGTTATCGACAAAAAATAAACCTCACAGGGTACAAATTAGGTTTATGAGGTTGTTTTTTTCACATTTAAGGTTTTTCTGAGGCTGATTTAAAACAACTTCATAGCAACCTACTGAGGCAGTTTTCTTTTAAAGTGTACAGGATATTTTTTACTGCTCCAAGCTGTTTTGAGGTTGATTTAAATGCTCTTTATATTAACCTACTTAGGAAGGTTATTTTAAAGGTGCTCATGTTATTGTTCCTTTACTTTAAGTTGTTTTGAGGTTTATTTAAAAGGACGTCATATCAACAGTCTGAAGAAGGTAGTTATGAAAGTGTTTAAGTTATTTTTTTACACTTTAAGTTGTTTTGAGGTTGATTTAAATGCCATTTTTATCAATCTGATTAGGAAGGCTATTTTAAAAGTGTGCAGATTACATTTTTACACAAGTTGTTTTGAGGTTTATTCAAATATACTTCTCAGCAACCTTCTACATTAGGTTTTTATTAAATTATTCAGGATATTTTTTCTAAACATCAAGCAAATGAGGAGCAGAAGCGTTGATCCTACTAGCCCTTATAGGGGTAGTTTTATAATTTATCAATAAACACTTGTCTCTTAAATTGTACTGTTACCTCTAAAATTTAGGTTTACGCTATCCAGTGATTAATATAGTAACTTTGGTAACAGTGTTACCCAGGTTGGAAGGAAAATCAGTCAAGGAATTATTTGAAACATTAAACATTTACAAACAATTTTATTGTTACTAAAGATTTCCAAGCAAAAACAAACTCAAATCATTTCCAAATGCTATTACGTAGATATCACATATGTACAAATTATTAGATACTTCAGGTTTAAAATTTAGCAATACGAAATTAAATTTTCAATAAAATGCAATTAAAAATATAAGGCTCAATATTCTAAAATTCCAAAAATGAAAGGCATACTTATCTTAAAATCTTACAAAATCAGTTAAAAATAAAAATCACAATATTCTCTTAATCCTGTTAAAGCGATTAAAAATAAAAGGTACATTTGTCTTAAAATCTAGAAGAAGCAATTAAAATTCAAGATAAATTATTCTTTTAAAACTATACTAAAATTAAATTTAGAGTTTTTTTTTACATCAATTGAAGTTGCAGACCAAATCTCTTGAACGCTCACCGGTATTGCAGCCAAATCTCGTGGAACAAGTCAATAATCCAGTTTCTGATAGACAGCACTCTAACAGTCAATTCAGGCTTCCTTCTAATATGGCAGTTAGCACAGGTGGAACAGCAGACTTTCGGCAATGGGACGCCGAGGTGGGTCTCAAACAGATTCAGACTTAGCGGCTCTGGCCTAACTTAGCTCATCACTTCCGTTTATCCACTCAGTGACTCTGGCCTTAGTTCATCCACTCAGCGACTCCGGCTTTAGTTCATTTACCTCTCAGACATTCTCCACCATCTTCTATCCTCGTGACAGCAAGGCGAAAGAATCTCAAACTGATATTTTTTCCTCCCACGGGCAGTAACGCAACACCAGTGAACGTCACAAAAAAATAGTCCAACGATGAAAACAGTTCTGATTCAAATGATACTTTATAAAAGTGATAAAACAATACTAATTAAATATAAATGAACTCAAATACACATAATTCTACCAAAAATTTCCTTCCAAAAGACAATTAAAATTTAAGATTACTGTCACTATTGTGATGCAATTTAAAACTTATAATAGCTTATAAAACTTATAAGTCCTTATTGATTTGTATGAATTGCCATGCGTGAATCCACATACTTCTTATTTTTATAGTGTATTATTAAATAAAATAAAAAAAATAACTTAGCTTAAAAGCTACCTGAATACTTCATTATGTCTTATGGTAACACACGAGTTGTTTAACGCGATATACTGTCGAAAAATATGACTGAACACTTAGCATTTTGTAAAGATTACTTGCTTCTTTAGTTGTTCAAAATATAGTTAAACAACTAAATTTAATTGATTTAATAACCTTTGTAAAACCTTTTGAGCAAAAAATAATTGAAAACTGCCTATTAATTTATAAACATCTCTCTTTGACAAGTTTCTAACTATTTTTATCTCTAACTAATTGTTCAAAAGTAAATTTTTTACTGTCATTAAAATACAAGTCTTTCCATACCAGACTTTCAAAAATCAATGAAAATAATTTTGCAGCTACTTTTTTGATTAATCTTTTAAAACCAATACTGCTCGTCTATTGAAAAAAAAAAAACACTTTTCTAAGCATTTTCCATTTTTTTAACTATCGTTTATATATCGTTTTATTTATTGAATCAAAACTTAAAACATTAAAATATTATAAATTTTTTAGCTTGCTAATTGTTTCATAATTCTGTATTGTAATATATTTTTCATTATTAGACCCTATTTCAAGATCGAAAGAAAGATGCACGTTAGACGATAAATTAAAAACAATAATCATTGTTAACAGTGCCACCTAAACGAAATTCATTAATTAAAATATTGATTAAAGCTTTCCATAGTTACTTTAATAAAGAGCAGAAGTTTTAAACAAAGATTTTGCTTTCCCTTTGTTTGTAAACAATACATTAAAAAAAATGTAACTATTAGCAATTTTTAACTTCATGATCCAGGAAATTTAAATAAGGTTTAAAGAATAAATTGTAAGCATTTTCTTCACATATTTTTAAAATATGCGTTATATCAAATCATGAGAAATATTTAAAATTAAATCCCTGGAAGCGAAGGCACATATGAAGTAAGGCACATAATGTCCACTATACTACCAAAATGGTTTATTCTTACGTACTTTTCATATCTTATAAATGGTTTTCAAAAACTTTTTTTATGCAAAATTAAATCCTGTGTCATAATAAATTATACATTAGATGGTATATATGTAACATAGTAAAGTAAATAATCCTTTACTACCTTAAAAATTTGAAAGCTGAACAATTTTCATCATTTAACTCAATAATAAAGATTTAATTTTAAACCAAACACAGATGGTTATTAATTGTATTTCCTCTAATTTAAATTAAAATTGTATGCAGATCCATCAGTAGGACTCTACAGATTTGAATACTGATTTTTTAGATACATAGAATAATTCATACTAAGTAAATCCTAAATGAGAACATTTATAAATTTATATCAATAATCATAACAAAAATCAAACTTCAATTAATTTATATCAAATGAAATAAATTTTACATTTTTCTATATTTTGTTTCCTTTTATAACCGTCGTTGAACAGCCGACCAAATTTTCGGGTTTACGACTATTAATGTTCAATTCCGTACCTTGTAATTTTGAACACAATCTAGAAGACAAGGATCAACTCCTGAATCAAGTATTGGAAGAAATTTGCCTTCGTGGAGGACTTTTTGATGGAACTAACCCACATTTGCGTTGCATGGAGAGGAAAACTACGAATTAGACTGACGGCAAAGGGACTCTAACTCTTGATCCGTCTACCATTGATATTATTTTACATCAGCACTGTGTTCGGTGCAAGCCGGATGAGAAATTCGTATCGACCAGCAATCGCTGGATCGGAACCGGGTTCACCTCTTTAGAAGGCGAACGCTTTATCCCCTGAGCCATCACGGCTCACATTTTTTATGTAGTTTATATAAAATCCTGTCAAAATTAAATCAGTAGAAACAAAGCTAAGCAACGTGAAAAAAGGCAAAAACAATACCGAATGCAAAGCACTACGAAATTTATAATTTGTGCTTTTTTTTACGTTGCTAAGATTTATTCATATGTAGCACAAAGCCTTTCTTAATTTGTATAAAATCATTGTTATACTATGAATAACATAATTTATTAAACTTCAAATTCATTTTCTTCGTAGGTATTATGCTATAATGTACCCTTTGAGTTTAAGATGGACAAAATCCAGAGGACCACTCATAATGGGATTTATTTGGATATCAGCCTTTGGACTCTCGAGCTTTCAACTTATTCACGGAAAAGCGGAAAAGATAACTTATGATGGAGAAGAGTTCTATGACTGCACGGAAGTTTGGGATGAACTAGATGGCAAGGTATTTTATGCTCCTTTGCATAAAAGGCGATATCATCATAATATTTGTTCGTTGGAAATCATTACCGACACTCCAACGATCTCATTTCAATAAATGAAATACCTAACTTTTATTTGTTTTGGGAATTCTCTACCAGTACAAAGATATCTTGTCTGGATATATTATAATGATATTTAGATTGAGAAAACTGATTTTATTTTGTTGACAAATTATTGAAAATTATAAAAAATAATATTTAAACTTTTTTATGTTAACTCTCATTGGATTCTTTGTCACTCGTTTTGCTCACTAACCCCTGCAATTATCTCACAATCATTTTTACTTCTTAAAACAGATGATTGCATTAAAACTAAAAATTATTCAATTAAATGATTCCTAAATATTTCATGATATTTTTAATGGCACTATTTTAAAAATTGTAACGAAACAATAGGCACAAATAAGGAAAAATAAATTATTATATTGAAGCAAAAGTTATACGCTGTTATTATTACGTCAAATATTTTCTTCTGAAGAAGATTTTTTTCCACTCTTTTACAAATTATGTAACTCATATTTAACATGCAATACAAACAGTAATATTTTAACAGTTATAGACCTTATTTATATTTTGAACAATCATAATTATGTAAAAATGAACAATCATACAATAATATTTTAACAGTCGTAGACGCTTTATCTATTTTGAACAAACATATAAAAATGTTTTTTTTCTTACGAGCTTAGCCAATCACTTTCTACTATATTGTAATTGAAAAAAAAAGAATAGTATTTCATAATTTTCATGAGTTGGCAATAATGTTTTTGAATTTCATCACTGTTCTGCTCTTTTTCTATCATTTTGTTTATCGTTGCCATTTTATTGAATCTAAGCACCAATTTAACAAAAATAATCAGCAATTTTCTTACTTAAGTTCACACTGAAACTATTTTCTTTTTCAGGGTGCATTTTGAAAATATTCAAAAACACGTTACTAGCATTTACTAATCACATAGTAACACTAATGAAGTGTTTAAATATAATAAATTCTATGTAGTGATAATTTTAATCGCAGCATAACAAATGAACTTTTTACATACTCATGCATGTAAGTGTAAAAAAAAAAGACTTTTCAATATTTCCTTTCTCTAATTTAAAAACTCGTATAAGTCGTTGACGTTTTTTTCCTTTTCTTTTTTCTGGTTGTCTAAATTTACGTCATATTTACTTGATTACTTGATTACATAAAATAAAGAAATTCACTGTTGGCAATTTGTTTGATTGCTCTAAATATACCATGTTAGAAATTCTAGTTAATATTTTGTAAGTCATTTCGATTTTTAATTTTCTTTTTCTCATTAATTTTTCTCACTTTTTGTTTTAAACCATTAATCACCAAATCTGTTGTACTTGGTGTTTCTAAATTATTATCTTTCCAAAATTTATTTCGGCTAAACAGAAACATTTGTGCTTACTAAAATATATATTAATAAAAATAATTAAATTTTAATATAAAATTTTTCTTTTGGAATATTTTCAAAAATTAAAATTGCATACTTATTAGAACTTAAGATTTAAATGACTGACTTCTTTTATATAAACATCTCTCTTT